TTCACAAGAGAAGGCTATGGGGGGACCTGGTGACTGTCTATAAACTCACTAGCGGGGACCAGAAGGGTTTGGGAGAGACCTTGTTTCCCCTAGCGCCCCCTGGCATAACAAGGAATAATGGCCACAAGTTGTTGGAGAGTAGGTTTAGATTAGACATCCATAAGAACTACTTCGCGGTCAGGGCGGCTAGGATCTGGAACCAACTTCCAAGGGAAGTGGTGCTGGCTCCTACCCTGGGGGTCTTTAAGAAGAGGCTTGATGCCTACCTGGTTGGAGTCATTAGAGCCCAGTTTTTCTCCTGCTCAGGTGGGGGGTCGGACTTGAAGATCTATAAGGTCCCTTCTGACCCTACTTCTATGATTCTATGATCATGGCAGGTTTGTGGTGCTGTAGACAGCTAGGCTGAGTGATTTTTGCTTTCCCTCCAACTTGGGCATCTCTGATCAGAGGGGAGAGTGTGGGGGTGCAGATGATCCTGGGTACATGTTCCTCCACATGCCTCTGCTAACACATCTCACTGCTAACTTGCTACAACCCAGTTATTTTAATATTCACCAGACATGGCTGAACAAGTGCCTCTCTTGAGACGAAAAAAAAGCCTGCTGCTCTACAGGACATATCACAAGCCCCTGAAACACTCCAACACATGATCCATATTCATTGCAGCATGGTGAGCATGGCACAGATGCTCAGAAGACTACTGATAGTTAAGCATTTACACTGATTTATGGGCCATAGAAAGACATTGCCCTTTTTTAAGAAAATGTGACTCCAAAGACAAACTAAGCCAATGTCTTGCAGTGCTCTGATGGATGCCTGCCATTTATAGTGAGGAAGGCCTGTAGGCCAGGCACAAGCCAGCCCAAGGAATTGCTGAGAAATAAGAACGCAGGTGGGAGCCCATGCTATTAATTACAGTACAACTTTTATTAATACTGGAATCTTCACAGTGCATTCGTTACTTGTAGCAGTGACTATTTAAATCAAGGGTGGGGCAGGGGACAGGATAATTCTCAAAAAAAAAAGAAGAAAGAAAAGAAAAGGGAAGTTGGGGAAAGGGAGCAGCGGGAGAGAGACAGGAGCACTGGGCAGGGAAATAAATTAAAAAAGGACAAGTTAACAACAGCACCAGAAAATTACTTCAGTTGAAAGACGGTTTTTTTAAAGGATTTTTTTTTCTCTGTACAAAGTGAAAAAAAAAATAACCAAAAAAAAAAAACCCCGAACCCAAACATTTGTCACGCGCCATCATCATCTCGGGTCACAAGAAGGAGGTTGGGAATGACGGGACGGAGAGAGGTTATAACTAAATCATTATTACTAAGACAGTATAAGAGTAACAGGGTTGCAATGCGACACACACACATACACACATCTGGGCTGGAAGGCAAGAAGGGTGGGTCCATTGTTTGGAGCTATGTACAACATCATGAGCTGCTGTGCTTTGTGAATGCATAAGCGTGGAGAAAGAGCAGGGGAGGGGTGGGGAAGAGAGAGAGAGAGAGAGAGAGAGAAAGGGAGGAAAGGTTGTGCTTTCTTAAAGGCTTTCTTAATCTACCCCCCAAAATGAAACTAATATATCAAAGGCTGGCTGAAGACTGTGCCCGCCCCCACAGGGGAACTACTTCTTGAATTCACATAACTGTCCCTGAAAAACTGCCTTTCCCTTTCATAGTAGGGATGAAGGCACATTGCTTCTTGCTTGGAATTTATTCTCCAGGGAATTCCTCCCATCCTTTCCCCACCCCTTGTACATCTCCTGCTTCAGAGGAATGTGGGACTTGCTTGGCTGAAGTGCTTGTGAAAGAGAACATGAAGATGGCAAATGGGACCCAACCCCTGCACTGTGAGACACATGACATGCTAAAGGCTAACTACTCTGGAAAGGTGAGTGACCAAGACCAAAATCATAGGAAGAACTGGAAAAATCACTTCCAGTGAAACCACTGAAATCGGTGGGTCTAAGCCAGCTATGATGCAGATCCACTGAAATCAAGGGAGACCATACCTGCCTAAGGAATGACTCCATTGAAACCAGTGGATCTCCACCAAGAATGAACCTGGGCTGTAATGGCCATACAAGGTCTACTGTCTATGCAGGACCTCCCTTCCCTGCAGTATCCCCACTATCTGCCATGCTTATCCAGTGAAAATGCATCTTGTGCAGCTCCCACAGTATTATAGCCCAGTGGGGTCCTCTCTTTGTCTCTACCTGCTGCAGTAGCACCTATAGTGATGCAGGATTCCTCCAAATTACCAGCCACTTAGAGGGATCCTGGGATAAGGCCAGTGATCCCCCTGCATAACCTGATGTTTTTAGCTAACTAAAGGTTCAGGATAATGAAGGGTGGGGGGAGTAGATCAGACCAACTCTCAATCAATCGTAATTAAGCCAGTCTCCAGCCAGCTGGTTTGGTAATAGCCATTCCTATCCAATCAGATGCAAGGAAAGCCCATTTTCCTTCATGTTTAACCAAAACCTACAGGACCACAGGGCCACATCCAAGTCACTACATCATTTCCTCTGACTGTAGTGGATACCCCAGCTCCTTCCCCTCCAGTCACCCTACCCGGTTTGCCAGGAATCCCTTCTCTTCACCCATGTCACATTCCATTTGCCAGCACAGACTTTGCAGGCTTAGGGGAGAGCAGGGCCAGGGAGGGAAGGGCAAGAGGCAGACACATACTTGAGCACCCAGAAACGCCCCCAAGGCTGGAGTCTTGGAATAGTGCTGTAAGTATCAAGGAGGGGAAGAGTGCTCCCCTTCCTTTGGCATGCCTGTTACAAGGTACTTAGGGAAGGGGGATGGACTGGAGAGAGGTGCTCTCCTTTCCTGTTCCTATCATATTTATCCAGTCAGCATGTCCTTCAAAGCCCTGCTTTTAAGCAGTGAGGGAGATGTGTGAGAGAAAAGATTTTCAACACAACACTGGCTCCCCATCCCTCAAGCTGTCCCTGCACCCTCCAGCCACTTCCAGATAAATGCTCCCATGGCATGACTGTCTTAAGCTCAGAAGCCATTTAAGAGGACAGGGATACTGCCACGGCCACTGCATTCTGGGAATGGAGCCTAGCACTCTATCAGCTTGACCCTGGTGTAAAGACAGCACTGGGAGAATCCAGTGAGACGTGCTTATTGGGATGTTCATGGCTATTAGCCACAGGGGTACTGACAAGGAAGAGTGAGCCAGGACATCGATTTTTCCAGCAACACCCGCAAGGCTTTACTTAGGCAGAACTGTCACTAGTGCCAGCAAGCCAACTCTTGAGCTCTGCTCCCTTCTTCTGGGTCTAGGTCTTCCTCAGGCAGTTCCTCCTAATTTTAAGAAGAAGAAAAGGCAGGTCTGACTTTGCCACCTTGTTGTTTCCTGTGTGGTACTTCACCCTATGAGGAAAATATCATGCTACTGGATATGAGTCTGGAAAGGCAGGGGAGAAATGGATCCTGAGCAAGGGCTGAGACTGCTCTCAGCTCAGAGAACAATCAACCATGCAATCTTCTCAATTTGGGAATAGAATGGTACCTGGGCCACATCCCAAACCACTGCCTTTCCCAGTCTGACACCAAGGATGAGACTCTGAGTCACAAAGCAAGTCACTGGGACAGACTCCAGCTCCAGGGGTCTTCTGTAGTCTTGAACAGTATGATGTCCTGAAGTTAAACCACTGCATACAAACTGTGAATGTTCCATGATTTTGCTCCTCTCCTAGCTACAGCTGTCAGTGGAGGTGAACAGGAGTAAGCGTGGACAGGTGCATTAACTGCATGCATCTACAGCTCTCCTCCCTTGTAAAAACACCCAGCCAGGGCACACCAAGAGATGAACCTCCCAATGGACATCTCCATTTTCACACAGTCTTCCCTCATTGGGACACCAAGGCCTGCACCCCAGCTATACACACATCTTAGTCCTGTGCACACCAATCCATAGGCACCTCTGTCACACACCAAGTGGAAGCCTACTGCAGCCAGAACTACATGACAGATACATCTCTCCTGTCCTCAGGGAAACATGAGCAAGCTGGTGCCTTTACACTGCCACCTCTCTGCTGGTGCTGAACTCTGGGTACTGAGGGGTCACTGAGCTGTCCCTGCCTTCCCTCCTTGTGTGGGTCTCTAAGCAAGTGCTCTAAAAGTAATCTCACCCAATATCTGGACATGTTGTATGGTGCTAACCAAGAAGAGAAGAGCCTGCTGAAGAAGAGAATCTGTATCTTGAGACAGTCCTGAGTTTTCTGTAGAACACTATGGAGATCAGGCCCCCAAATCCTGCTCTCCAGGGCATACTCACATAGGCCCTTCCAGGGTTTAGATAGCAGAGGCATATTGGCAAGCAAATTACACCAAAAATACCTCAGGAGACAGGGCCATATATTCCAGGTCTTCTCTGATGAAGCCCATTGCCATGACCCCAGCCACTTCTCTGCTGTTGCAGGAAGCTTTTCCAACCCAGCTGATATGAAAACGAGAGCAAGAAGAAAGAAAAAAAAGAAAGAAAGAAGCAGATGTTATGATGTTCAGCACAGGACTAACAGTGCATCCTTGTCCAGGGGAAAAGGAGGGAGGTGGGTTCACTGGGGAACAGCAGCCAACAGTCCTTGACTTTTTGTGTGTGTGTATATATGTGTGCGTGTGTTTCTTATGCTTATGATGTAGCTGCTGATTCCAGTCCAGACTCAAGTCCCTCCCCTTTCACCGCTGCCTGCTGGCTGGTAGCGAGGAGTCTTTCAAGGCTGGGAAGTGAGGTGTGGGAAAGAGCTGGGGAGTCTAGGAGGAGCAGGGGAGAAATAAAGTATAAAATAGGCTCCCAAACCAGTTCAGCGCTTAGGCTATGCCCTTGTGAGTTTGTTAGCGAAGGCTTTTAGTTTCCATTTAAATCTAGACTCTGTCTCTATCTCCATAAAGTGGCTTTGCCTTTGTGGTTTTTTACTGGATTGATGTTTCTTCAGCACGGCTTGCTTTCTCAGTCCTGACCCTGTGTTCAATATCTTCCCACGGGCTGTGGTGAGTGGGAGAGTGGGGGGAATTTATCACAATATCCGCGGGGCGGATCTGTCGTTGGTGATGGTTCTGCGCAGACGCACCCCACGCCGGATGGCAACCAGCATGTCTTCAGCAGGTGGGTCACTGGAGGCAGCTGGGGGTGGAGTGGGTGTCTCCTCTCCAGGGCCAGGCACAGAGAGTGCAGTGGGGAAAGGGAACTGGCCTTCACCCAAGGCATGCGCGCTGGCCACCAGCTCACCAATCTTCTCCACCAAGCTGTGCCGATTGGCAGCCAGCTGCTGGTCCTCCTCTTCCTCAGCAGAGAGGTGCTGCCCAGCACCCGGGTATACTGATATCTCCATGACATTACTGCCCCAGGCTGTGTTGGGGAGGCTCAGCCTCTTGGGTGAGGCTTTGGCAAAGTCTATGGCATTTGGTGAGGCATCGTCAGTATAGAAAACGCACTCCTCGCTGCCCACTCTGGTGGGTCCAGTGTAACTAGGGGAGTCGGGCACTGTTGGGGTCTTCACTGGGACAATGGGGGGCCGGATGGGGATGGGGCCAGCATTGGAGAGGGTGCGGCGCACTGAAGGCTTTGTGGAGGGTGTGCGCCGGATAGTTGCCACTCCAGGGGTGGCACCAGCTGGCAGGTTGGTCCCAGTGGGTAGACCAGCAGTAGAGGCAGGGCGCTTGGTCTGGATCATGCGGCGGTAGTTCTGGGCAATGTTGCTGTTGCGTGGGATGGTGGAGGATTTGTCAAACTCACTCTGGCTGTCGCACTCCACATCGCCATTCACTGAGTAGCAGTCGTAATCTGAGCCTGGGAGGCAACACACAGGGTCAGCCTGGCCGCACAGCCACATCATGGGACTACAGATGCATCCCATGTCTCATAGCAACACCACACAGCCATACTGAACACCCCACAGCCATATCAAATAGCCACATCATTAGCACCTACACTCAACATAAGCTACAGGCCCCGCACAACCACAACGTTACACATAACATAAGCACCTCACATAGACAAAATGGTAGCACCTGCAATCAGCACAACTCCACCCATCTAAAAGAGCCATCTACTAAACACAGCAGTCAAATCATCCATCACCAGCTACAGTAAGAACAGAGTGTGCACTGTGCACAATATAACCACGATATTCACACAGCCTGCATCACCATACAAACAACTACAGCAACTACCCAGCCCAAAACACAAATACAAACAACACGGTGTGTTGCCAACAGGTCAAAAAGTTTTCACCGTGCCACACAATATATGGAAAACTCAGTACAATTGTGCCTCATCCAGCACCATACAGACATTGCTCACACTGCAGTCAAAACACATCACCACACCATCACACTACAGAACATTCACACCCCGCATGATTTAAATAAAAAGCACAGTACAGTCACCTCAGATGAACTGGAAACAAATTTCAGTACTGCCAGTAAATCATACAATGGACTATAATGCACAACATATAAAGCAACAAGCAAAACAGAATAATCAAATTGCATGAGACATGATAAGCAATACATCCCACAGTCAGAAAACAGCACGCCCATCCACTATGTGCAACACAAATCAAATAGAAGACAGAACTGAGCAAAATGTAAGGCTGAAGACCAAAATCACACAGCACAAGCATGGTGCAACCAAGCCACACCACACTGCAGCCATGGTGTGCATGTAACCAGAACACAGCATCCCCCACTCCCCTGCCAGCTCCCTAAACCGCTGTACATGCTGGAGTGGGAGGGGAAACTGGAAAAAGGTGATTTTTTGGCCCAAAAGCTGAAGTCATTTTTGATCTGCAGGTTTTAAAGAGGAAGTAGGGTCTGATTTGTCAATGTTATTTGCAATCATTTCAATAGAAAATACCTCACAGTGTTATGGGACCTCTCTGCTCCTCTACAACTGCCTGCTCTCCACTCCTCAGTTCAGCACTGTCCCCTCATGTCTCCCTGTGCTCCGCTCCCCAGGTCAACCTTGGGACACAAGAGGACCAGCCTGTTCCCTCACATCCCCTGCACCCCACTCCATAGCTCAGCCCTGCCCCATGGCATTACGGGAGCACTTTTCAGTTCAGCTCTCTCTGGAACCAGGACAGGAGCATCCTGCTTCCTCAGCCCAGCCCTGTCCCTCACCACTATGGGAATGCCCTGCTCCATCACATCCCTCTGTGCTGCACTCCCCAGCTCAGCTCTCCCCTGCAGCATGATGGAAATTCCTTGCTCCATCCCCCTTGCCCACACTTGACTCCCTAGCAGCTGGATCTTGCCCTGAAGCCACCCAGCAGTTCCTGGTTCTTTTTCTCCACATGAGCCTAATAGCTTCACCTGGTGGTCACAGCCTGCCAACACTGTGAGGATTCAGCTGCAGGGCTCTGGTCCCATGACTCATTTCATGTCATGGGTGATAGATGGAACTCCTGAGCCCACCATTCAGAGGGGGTGCAAGCGTGGGAAAGAAGTCATATGACCCCCATCTCTTGTACCACTACCTTGAGATGGGATGGTGTCTTCTGAGCAGGATGGGGTGGTGGTCTGTGTGCTGTAGCCACTGGAATACTGCAGTGAGTCCCGGCTGCTCTTCTGGTGTTCAAGGCTCAGGCCGCGGGTCAGCACCATGGCCAGGTCACTGGCAGCTGGAGACACCTCCTCACCATGCTGAGGGAGGATGAATAGAGCCCATCACAGACCAGCTCAGCTCTGAGCAGTAGCCCCTCATTGCCTGGTCTCTAGCAGAGCATCCCCACCACTGTTCAGCATGATTGGCCACCACCACTGGTTGCCACAAATCCTGGGAGTCAGCCAAGGAGTTTCTCCATAAGCTGAGTGAAGTCCTGAGACTTCAGGAGCCTGATTCCAGCCATTGGGAGAAGTCCTGGGGCCCAACTCCAGGCAGCTGCTTCCCACCCAGAGACTGGAAGAGCACAGCATCTCACTGTGTGCTTATGGGCATTACCACAGGGAGGGGCTGTATGCACATAGGCCTCATGGCATGTTACAGGAGCGTCTTAGGAAGGGGTGGGCAATAATTTGGGCCTGTGAGCCACATAGGCAGTTTTGAGGAGCTGTTGCAGGCCAGTCAGCAACACCTCCCTACCCCACCCCCTACCCTCACAACAGCTCACAAAACCTGGAGCCCATGGGCCCTGCAGCTCCTCCCTGCCACTAGCGCTCAGCAGCATCTGAGTGCACAGTCCCGTCTCCCACCCACCCTGGACTTGCCCCAGCTGGAACAGACCAGCTGTGGACCTACTGGGACCCAAATGCATAGCCCCATTTCCAGCCTCGGCCTGCTTCGCACCTGCTCTGGACCTGCGTCTGCTGAAGTGGATTAGCTCCAGACCAGACCAGGACCTGTGAGCACAGCCCCAGCCCTGGTCCACACCATGTCTGCTCCAGACAGACCCACCCATGATGAGCAGTGGCAGTGGTGGCTGGGCAGAAACTGATGCTGGGTACAGGGGAAAAGCGGGCACCCCCCCTTGCTGCTGCCAGGCCCTTCTTGCTGCAGACGCTTGGAGCCTGCCACCTGAGCTGCTCTGTGGTTCCTCTCCACTGCCACTGCTGCCCTGCTGGGTGGTCCGGAGGAGGTGCTGGTGGCAGTGCTGGCAGCAGCAGAGAGGAGCCCCAGGTCAACCCAGGTGCAGGTTCCAGGGAGCCACAGTAAGAAGGGCATAGGCAGCAATGGGGGGAGGGGAAGGGTGGCCACTTTTCCCCCATGCCTAGCAGCAGCTTCTGTTCAGCTACCATTACTGCTCTTCATGGGCCAATCCGAAGCAGGTGGAGGGTGGGCCAGGAACAGGGCTGTACGCACAGATCCTGGTTGGTCCAAAGCTGGTTTGCTCTGGCTAGAGCAGGTCTGGAGCAGGCGTGGGGTGGGCCAGGGTCGGGGCTGTGCACACAGGTTCCCACCAGTTTCCATGGGGCTGGGGCTGGTGGTAGCAGCTAAAAGAAGCTGCCACTGCCTGGGCTACCTAGAAATGGGAGTCCAGTGGTAGAGCCACCCCAGCCCTACTGTGCGCCTGGGGGTAGCGGGGTGTGCACCATGGGCCAGACAACACCTGGGCCAGGTTCGACCAACCCACCATGGGCTGGTGAAAGTCCCTCTGCAGGACGGATCTGGCCTGTGGGATGTATTTTGACCACCCCTGCTCTAAGCAGATACCACCCCACAAGAGAGCTGCATGGTCCCAGGGACGATTCCACACATTCATGTTCTATGAAGGACCCTTCTCTAAAAGGCAAAAAGTGACAACTGTTAAGTGAACTTCCAGGGGGCAGGACTCAAACCCAGCATCCACTGTTGCCAGTTCTCCCTCTCACCACACCTGAGGCCCTGAGTTTGTTCTACACCGGCACTCCTCCCCACACCCTGGCCCTCTGCAGCTGGAACTGGTCTTACCTTGGCAGCGATGGTAGCTGGAGACATTCTGGGCCTTGGTGTTTCCTCCACACTAATTCCTGGATACACCATGCTGGTTGAGCCCATTTCAGCGTCCCGCAGGTGCTCCACACGGTCCTTCCTTCGCTGCAGGGTGTTCACGGCTGGTTGGTCATAAGGAGTGGCCTTAGACCAATCCTGCAAAGGCAAGGGAAGCATGCTAAAGCACTAAGTCTTGTGAGTGGGGGAAAGAGACGGTAGCAATAGATCAGTGAGAACGGAAAGAAACAGAGAGGTAGATGTGAGCTGTGGGGGCTCTGAAGGTGATGAGAAAATTATTTCATGGCTGGTTCAGAGTGACTGGTTGGCCAGTAAAGAATGAGAGGAAGGCCAAAGGAATGGGAGGTGGTGAGGGCAAAACCAGTTCTGTGGCCATGCTCAGCAGGCTGGTAGTTTTACGGAAACATTTTCTCTTTGGGCCGTGGCTGGTTTAACATTTATAGTGCAACTGACCTGCTGAAGCTGCTAGAAGACTGTAGTGAGTCCTGGCTGCTTTTCTAGCGCTCAAGTCTCAGACTATGGGTGAGCACCATGGCACAAAGATGTTCCACAGATAATGTGGACTATCTTTGGGACTGGCTTTGATGGTGCCTTAAACTGAATGGATGGCATGGTCCAATCCCCAGGCTGACAATCAGCTGAGTGTCAGCAAGGGGACTAGGGCAGCCAACGCTTTCAAACTAGGCTGGGGTGTCTTCAAGTGCTGGGCTCTTGACCCTAGGCTCCCTGTGTACCAACAACTTAAAAGCTGTACACAGTGCAGCCCTGATTGAGGTTGCTGAGTGTACAGCTTGGAGTTTGCCGAGCAGCAGGGAATCAATGAGCTCCCCTGACCCAGAACATGCTTGGCTGTGCCCCTGGCAGCCCCATGCATGGATGCACTGTGTGTAACTTTTGAAAGCATTTCAAAAGCAAATGCATGTGGAGCTCAGGATTGGAAGCCTGGGTTCCACAAGCACCAGCAAGTGGATCTGATCCCTGATCCTAAGAATTACTTATCCAGCCATGCATATATGACACAACAGGACTCACAATTGCTGGGATGTGAGATCAGGTCCCATCACCATTAAATTAACATCTACCAGGGGCTTTTATTTTCTCTTCCTTGTGGATTACAGAGGCCTCTCTCTGAGGACACTTAGCAAAGTATGAAGATCATGTGTGTGTTGGGGGTGAAGTTCATGGGAGGGGGTCCCAAAGGGCCAGAAGAGTGAGCCAGAATGGGCCATTCAGCCCAAGGTCTATAGATAAACTTTACCAGTAACCCCCCAAGTAGAGAAGATACAAACCCTTTCTTTCTCATGCCTCCCTGTGCTGCACCCCTCCAGCCTCAGGCCTCCTCCTACTCCACTCCTTACCCATTTGCTGTCTGCTCCACCAGGTCCTTCTTGCACCGTCATGTTTTCCTCCTCAGGATTTGAGGCCCATCTGTGATCAGCACACTCACTATCCTGGCCCTGCATGCCCAGTGAAATGGCATCTTTGCTCCCTGCACAGTCTGCGCTGTTCCTCTCCTTCCTTCTAGACTGGGGCTGTGCCCATGGTCCCACATGCCCATGGTCCCCATATGTGGCCATGGTCCCACATGCCCTTCATAGCTTTCCTGTCCCTACAAGATTGGCTTGTGGACCTCTCACTGATGACTTGCCAATGGCAAGACAAATTAAGCTGATAGGTATGGGCCTGAGGTGGGAAGGAAGGACAGCAGGTAAGGCTGCGGATGGCTGGAGATGTAAGTAAGGGAAGGTTATGGGGAAGTCCTGGAGGTGAAGGAGGAAGGACACTTGTGGAATGTGGGTGGCTGGTGAGAGGTAAGATGACTGGGATGTGCAATGAGTGCTGGAATGAGGCCTACACAGCAGTGCTTCTCTGTTGTGGCAGCTGATGGTGCTCTAAGCACAAAGCTTCTTGCTCATGTAAGTCTCTAGCCAGCATCTGCTGAGAAGGTGACACATGCTCTCAGGACTCATTACTGGTGAGCTGACAAGATAAGCAGTGAAGGATGTCAAGCAGCAGAGGCAGTGGCAGGATGAGGAGGACCTGACATGAAAAATCACAGGCCCTGGGCCCAGAGAAGACAGGGAAAGGGAATGAGGGGATAGGGGGCATTACCATCCTGAAGGGCAAGGCAGGGCATGAAGGCTCTGCTCCATGAACTCCATGAACTCAAGGAACAGCTCTGGAAGGGCTGGAGGGAGGACACCTGTGATTCCTCAGGCGGTGGAGCAAAGAGTGAGCAGACCTGGAGGCCAGTGGCCCAGGAGTGGAATTGTCAGACTGAGGCTACTGGAGCGGCAGTAGGTCAGCACTGAGTGCTGTGGTCAGGTGCTCCTCAGCAAGTGTTGGGGCTGCTCAGAGAATAGAAGAGACAGGCCCAGGTTGGATTCAAGCCATCAATCATGAACCCAAGTGGCCTTGAGCCCTAATCGCTCCTACCTCGCTCAACCCCCATTTTGCATGAACTGGAGCAGCTCCCAAGGGGAGACGGGGAGGCTGGCAGCTAGGATTCAGCACTGAAAACACAACAGCAGAGCATCTCCCTTTGCCTTCCTTCTCAGCTGCTGGCTACACAGCCCAGGGTAAAGACCTACAGTTGGGTAAGATGAGTCTAAAACCCACTGCCCCATCACCTAGCCAGAGGAAAATATCACCAGGCTACCAACCACGTGCAAGGTATTGCCAGGTTCTTTAAAAACTACTCAGTGCTGGCAACACAGCAAAACCCTGAGTTACCTGCCAGAGTAAAGTGTGAGTCCTCCACAAACAGAATTCGGAAGCATATCAGGCAGGGAGAATGAAACCACGAACCCATGCAGAGGTATGTTAGATGTAACCCAACATCTGACATTTGCATGACTCTCCCGTAGGGAGAGAGCCTCAGGCTTCCTTTGGAGTTTCCTTCAGTCTGGCAAAATGAGCTACACTCATAGGTTTCAATGGTAACGCAATAAGGGAGGCAGGAGGATAACCCAAAGCCCAGGTCTCACCCACTGTGGACAGCATGTGTGGGGCTCAGACATACAATTCCTGTGTCAACATGTGTGGGCCTGAGTAGCAGGGTAGGTAATGGGGAGAGGGACAGCCAGGTTCACGCCAAGGTTAGACTGCCAGGCCAACCAATGGATGGGGTAGCCCTTGAGTGGCAATGGAGGGGGAGGTGAGGGAAGTTAATGGCATGTGAGGTACATCTCTCAAGAGGCCCACAGGGTACTTTGTACATGCATCATGTGAACAGACTGCCAACAGGGGATCTGCATGGGAAACGTACCACCCCGGGGACAGCGAGAGGGAGTCAGAGAGAGAGAAAGAGAGAAAATGAGAGAGAGAGAGTGACTTTGCTGATGAAGGCTTCACCTTTTCACCACCTGACCACGCCCCTGCGGTAGAGCTAGAACTAACCGAGGTGGGGGAGCTGCATTCGCTAACTGACTGGCAGGTTTCCGAGGCCTCGGAGGATGCGGAGCTGGAGGACTTCTGCCATGCCCAAAGTCCGATCAGCGGGAGCAAGTCAAATGAACACACAGAGAGGGGAGAGAACACACCTGGTTAAAAAGCCAAAGGCATGCAGCAGGAGATGAAAGAGAACTGCACACCCAAGCATGAGACACGCAGCCTCAGTACCAGTGCCAGCTGCAGAGGCAGAGCTGGGAAGACCCATGCGTGGTGTTAGATACAGGCAGCCCTATACTGTGCACACACAAATGCAGACACATATACCCTGCGGATGTCACCAGCCACACAGTGTGCCACACTCATACCACACATAATCTGTACAGCTACCAACAATGCAATAATCTCCAACACATGTACATCACCCCCACTTCTTAGGCACAGCCTTCTGACCCCAGGTAACACACATCTGCTACACATACCAACCCCTAGGCCTGCCTACTGCACATGGACTTCTCAGGAGCAGTCACCCACCCTGTACCTCCCACATCAACCCCTTCCATTTCTTGTGAAGTGCCTAATGCTGTAGTAGCAGGATGGAGCACACAACAGAGAGCTGTGGCATGAGTGCAACTCAGCTCCCCTAGTATCCTCCTACAGGTGCTCTCCAGCTATGAGTGACCTCAGTTGTCTATCCCACGCTATGTTCAGTCAAGAGAAAGGAATAATATCTAGCTCTGTGCATCCATGTGTTGTGATTGGACAATTCAAAGATGAATAAATATATAAAGCCGTATGTTTTCAGGACACTGGCAAGTATTCCCTCTGTTGGTTGGACTGACCCGGTAAGTGACAGTGAATAAAGGCTATTTGGTTTCTATTTGGCTTTTACTCACTGGTAAACCTACAGCAGTGGGGCTGGAGAAGGGTCCCTGGAAGTTGCAATACACCCATGAGGTCCCATCCAACCCTTATTCTATAATCACACACACACACACACACACACACACTGCAGTGTACTCTCTTCATACACCCCACCCCACCCCACCACATCTTCCCCCCAATATTATAAATATACTCTAGCACATGTGCATGTTGTTGCCTACCCTCCACACACCCTGTACTGTATGCACACTCTGCATACACACAGCATACAAACCTCACACTTCCTACATAATGATACCACACACCAGATGCATATTGCATACACATATGCACACACACCATATACACTCCCCCCGTAACTCATACAATACCCATACCTACATTCCAGGTACACATTCCACATCTACAACTATCCGCCTTTGCATCCGACACAAGCGCAGAGAAGTAACACACCTTGTACTCCACCCTCCTTGCCCGTTGCTGCATTGCTCACAGATCAAGGCAAAAGGACACAAACAGAGCACTGACAGTGGGCACCTGTACAGCACCCATAAGCTGTGGATCATTCACAGGACCCTTTCCCACACCCTCGGCACCAGGCTGCAGCAGCAGATTGCTGGAGCCTCCAACCTTACAGAGACCCTCCTGAGCAAGGGGAAGTGGATCATAACTAAAATAACGTCCCTGTTCCTGGGCCCTCCTCCCACATTGCAACATCTACAGCATTCTACCTGCTTGGACAAGCCCAAGATTTCTGAGAGACAACCCAGGATGTCATGAGTACCCTTGGCCTCAGGTTCCTCACTAGGCCCTCTGCACATTGCAATGATTCTACATAGGTAGAAAAAGAGGCCATTTGAACGAAAGCAGGCAATGCCTGCCTCTCTACCCCTGTCAGTAATCCCTGGGGCAAGACATGCTACCAGACATCAGTCTGCCTCAATCACTTCAACACAGGTTCTAACCTAAATGCTCCTGCCCTCTGCACCCCCCCACCACACGTGCAGTAAAGCTGTCCCATGTTAGTGACATTGGTTTAGTCCATTCACCCTGTATGTTCCTGCCCCTGCTCAGAAGCGCAAAGCTGTTAGGGCCAGTTCCACAGACATGACTGGGGCTGTGCATGGAGCCTGGCTGATGCACTGTGCCTTGCCCACAATGCCTCCATATTTTTGGAGGGCAGCCATGTCATCTCACACACAATGGGAAGTGCCATTAGACAGCCTGCTCACAAAAGCAATAGTGTGCCACACTGCTTTTCTGATGGGTGTGATCACATGGTATATGTCATGGCTCCCATGAACCCTGGCTTTCCCCTTGCTTTTCAACCTGAATCTACAGAATGTGGAGGACATTCACTTGGTGGAGCTTGGATGAGTTCAGGCACCACATCTTGGCCTGTCAAGAGCACCCTCTTAAGGCCATTCCCACCCTTACCTGACTGGTGATGTCAGAAGGCATTGGAGAAGGCGGCTTGGAGTACATGGCATCCTGGGAGATGAAGCCGGAGTCATGGGAGGAGACGCTGGACAGGCGGGTGTTGGCATTGACCGGCTGCGCCAGGCTGCGGTAGCGATAGGTGGGACTTGGTGAGCATGTTTGAGACCCTCCAGGCCAAGAGGTGCCACCCTTTGTACTGTTAACACTGCTGAGGGGTGGCGGTGGAGGGAGCAAGTGGGGGAGGGGGATGAGCAGGGAGGATGGGCAGGGGGAGGAAAGCAGCAATCAGGAGAGACGATGCATGTTATCAGGGCGAGAGGGGGTGCAAGGAGGGCAAAGGAAGGAAAAGACAGTTTAAGACAAAGGTCCATCACACGACTTCATCCACGAGAGGAACTGAGTTACAGAACAGAGTGTCAGTCAGGGAGGGAGGGTGGGGAAGGAGTCACGCTCATTCACATCGGGCTGCAAGGCAGGCCAGGCTCTGCCTCCATGCAGCATGCACAGCCCCTGCCATGGGTTCCTACCGCTCTGCTAGATGGAACAGACTGTTGCCCCCTCCCTGGCCCTGGCCAGTTGGGACATCATGGCCCAGGGGGAAGAGGCAAAGGGCAGAGCTGGGGGTGATGGAGGCACCACAGAATGCCCAGTGAGTCAGTCAGATGGGCACCCAGGACACGGTTCCTCCACAGATCTCACAGTACTCTACTAGGTGGCATTAATTCCAGGTTCACACATGGGGAAACTGAGGCACAATGGATTGAACACCCAGGGCCTAAACCTTTCCTAACATCTGGGCAAATTGGCTGGTGTGCCATAGCCACAGCAAACCCCATCTCCTCCTTCACAGCCCTTTAGCACAGGCTGGAGTCTCTGTACACTGAGAGAGAACCAGCTTCGCTTCATTCTAAAGCAACAAATGGCCCCAATATATATGGTCTGTTCTTATTATGGACCCTATCAGAGTACAGCACCAGCCCCACCACTGTTGTGTCTGGGATCATCACTGCACAGAACCATAGACAAGGTCTCAAAGAGACTCAGACTTTCTCCTGTCTATGCCATACCCAGAGTTACCTGCTCTGGCAGTAGGAAGGTGTGACAAAATCCAGCATCCACCCCTGCCAAACCAGCAGATAAAATATGATCTGTGAGCTACTCAGCTCCCCTACACAAGCTGTGTCACTAGAGCACCAAACTCCCTCTGCGATGGCATCAGCTTCCAAAAGGACCATGGCAGTGGGCAGGAGGCGCAGGTGTGTCTGCATGTGCCTTCAGCTAGTTCCTAGGCAATGGTAGAAACCTTACCCTACTGGGCAGAGGTGATGTAACTCTGCTGGCAGAGCTGCGGGTCCTGCTGCTGCAGAGGGGCTTAGAGTGTTCAGGCACTCAGAGTTTTGCTGGCAGGACTGGAGGTCCCCTGGCAACCTTTGCCATGCAGACTAGACTTAGATTCTGTGGCACATTCTGTGGCAGCCTGGGGGGAGTTCTGCAGTGGTTTCAGCTTTATTGGAAAAGGAGGGTTTCTATTGAATCCAGTATGAAAACAAGCACTAGAACTGGAACAGCAGTCCTGCCCCAGATCAATAATGCATCTCTTCTCACTATTGGCTGGTTTCACATTTCCAGGCTTTACTGTGTTGCAGATACTCATCTTCAACATCCAGGGTAATACCCAGGCGGGATGAAGGAGGCCATCCCACATCGCTCTGAGCTATTGTTTCAGACTATCTACAAACACTCCACTCATGCTTTCAGGTTTTTCTTTGCAACCATGAGGATGGGAAACTATATTCTAAAGACAGATGAGATTCTGGAGCACAGTTGGGTGGCAAAAGGAGATTTGCAAGGCAAATTCCATATATGGGAGAAGGCGGGAGTGGGGTGCAGACTCTAGGGCAGTGATTTTCACACTTTTAAAATTCAAGACCCTCTTTGTTAGACTTCAGACACTCTCGGAAAATCACAGCTCTTAGTTGTCTCTTGTTTTTTGGCTATGGAAAAATAGAAGAGCAGTTCTTCTATTGCCAAGGAACTCAGAAAGACCACGAGTCAGAATGTTTCTAACACTATGGATTTCTAACTGAAATCCATGGGTATCCCCTGTGAATCATGTTTGCACACATCACAGTGCATGGCACCCCATGGTACACATGAAAGGATCTCAAGGTTGCAAATCATCACTGTAGGGCTTTTCACAGGGGCGCTTATCCTGTCTCTGAGCCTACATACTTTCCAGGGGTGGATATGGTGGATATGGGGTAATCACACACTTCACAAGACAGAGGAGCAAGGACCAGAAGGGATATAGGGAGGTTCAACTAATTTTTAACTATATTATTTGATCCCAGAGCATTTCAGAAAACCCTCTCTGAGGCTCTTAAGATTTTTGCAATGCATCTCCTTTGGAGTGACCCTAAATGGGATGGATATGAAAAGTACTGATTATAAAAAGCATGGTATCTCATAGAGGATTAAATCCCATGCCATTGATATGGATCTGTTGGTAATCTTCAGCACAATGCTCTAATGATTAATTAGCATCTGCTCCACATCTATATTCTTAGGCACATTTAGAAACATGCCTTTTTCTTCCTGTGTATGGAGAGCTAAATGGAAGCCAGTTCTTCTATGCTGCTGAGGTCCCAGCTGAGAATTCATACACTTTGAGGTTTATAGACATTTAGCACTTGCCAGCCATGCAGCTCAAAGCATCATGAGCCTCATTCACCAGAGGAGTTAACTGAGGCACAGAGAAATTCAGTGATTTGCCTAAGGTCACTCAGGACCAGTGCTAAGATTAGCAGCCAGCTCTCCACAGCCAGCACCCTGCACTCTGTGCCCAGCCCTTCTAGACAAGTAGCAATGAATGTCTCTTTAGCTGCAACCTTGAGAACCAGAATATAAAGCCTCTTGCTAAAAGCAGGGCCCCCTTTGCCCACATCCTCAGCATGCTTGCTGAGAACTGGCCCTGCTATGTCCCAGCTGAAGTCTGGCTTGTCCATTGTGCTAAACTTCCTACCAGCCACATTGTACATACCTGCACATACTTGACTTGCGAGAGCCAGAACTGCTGGGAGAGGATGGTGGAGTCTGGTAGGACCAGCTGTAGTCAGAGCCTTTCAGATCTTTGATCACCTGCAGGAAGAAGGTGGCAGGGCTGGGTTACGTGCTGGTTTATTAAGTGTTTTCGTTCCCCTCCAGTGAAATCTGCCACTAGTGTCAGGGCAAGTGCCCTCAGTGCCTGCTGTTCTCCACTGGAAATAGTGCCAGTCCTTCTGCAAGCCTTCCCCTCCTCCCTGGCCCCTGATGCATCCATTTCGCCTTATCCCCCTCTTCTCCTTCTCCCTGCGCAGCCTCTCACCTGCTCACTGGCTGGAGGCAGTTTGTGTGGTTCTGCTGTCAGCACCACCAGGTCATCAATGATGCCCTGCAGATGAGTGATCTCTCCCAGCATGGTGATTTCTCCATTCTGAGTAACAAGGGAGGCAGAAGAAAGAGGAAGCATCAGCACTTGGTGTCCCAACTGCAAGGCTGATCTCCCCCACACCCTGCTCTGCACGCTCCAAACCAGCAGTGGGGGAGATGTCTTCCCACCCTGGCAGCACTAGAGCACCAGTTGGCTAGCTAACCTCACAGGCAGAGTGCTCTGAAACCCCTTTCCTGTAATGACAGCATAACAGATGTACAGAGGCTCTTGTGAAACCTTTCTTGACAAAAATTAAGGCAGGGAGTGGGGGTTGCAGGAGAATGGAGAGTCTAAGTCATCAGATGGTGGAAATTGACCTAACTCCTTTAAAGCCAATGGTCAGCAAAGCTACACTGATTTACACTAGCAAGGGATCTGGCCCTGTGAATGTAACTGGAGCTTAGCCATTACAACAGCCGCTGAGTAAAAAGGATACCAGTGCCCTGGTGGGGAGGAGCAGGGACACTCATGCCTGTGTCCCTGCAGATTCCCAGCCATGCCCCCAGCTCCCTGGCTAGAGGAGACTGAACCCCCCTCTACACACACACTGTAGTTGCATACAGCAACCTCCTCCATAAGAAGGCTCCACACCAGAGAAGGAGTTCAAGTCAACCCTGTTGACACTGTCCTCCCTGAGTTATGGCTAGAGAGTCTTGCAAAAGGATTTCAACCAATCAAGAATATAAGCAACCCGGTAACGACGTGGGGAGAATGTACTGCATATTCCAACCACTTAAATGTTAAAATAAAATCAGTCCAGTGTCAGCCACTGCAATAAATGCTATATGACCATCTGTGAAATGTCACTGCAGTTTAAATATATTGGGGGAAAATCTTGTGTCACCCACCATGGGAATGCTTCCAGCTGGGAAGGGAGGGGAATGATAACTGCAGCCATTACAATGGTGTCAGCAAGACAAGAACATTCCCATCCTTGGACACAGCCCCAGGAGGATTTCAGATGGCAGAGTGTAATCTATGCTGGAATCTGGCCAGATCACAAGGGTAAGAACCCCAGGCGTTGTGAAAAGGGCCCCAACATCTTTAATGGCCACTGCAAATACATCTCAAGAATCAGCAGGCTTTGGAAAGGTGAGTAAAGCTCACTGTCCCTATTCCACAGACAGGGGAACTGACTGAAGCACTGACCAGGGCACCTCCCCCCAGCTCACAGAGCTAGAGGTAGGACAGCCAGAATCTCAGCATAACTGTTTGGGTGAAAGACAGTGACTCTCCTACTAATTCTGATATAATGTTGGCAGTGCTGACTCAGAAATAGGAGTATGGGACTGGGAAAGGCCTCTCAAGCCATTTGGTCCAGTCCCTGCCTTTGCAGACAACCATTTATCCAGAGTCCCTCAAATCATCCACTCCAGCCCTTCTCATCTGACAATCACAAAGCACTGCACAAAGAGAAAACACCTACTGTGTGTCCAGGGAGGGGACCCAGGCACTGTCAATGCCCTGCCACTGCTGTGGCAGAGACGCAGTTGGTAAGTTTATTCTCAGAAGATCCCCAAAAATCATGCCTCACACAGGAGAGAAAGGCAAAACTCCCCTAGTGCTTCCCAATCTGGTCTGGGGGAAAAGTTCTTTCCTGACCCTAATTCTGACTTTTCATTTGATCCTGGACAGAAGCACAACTTTCTAGCTAGATACCTGGGAGGTTTCTAAATACAAGTGAGAGAACAAGACCGCCCCCGTCCCCACTCCCACCTTTAGCTGTAATCAGTGTCCAGTTCTTCAGAGGAAGGCAGAGAATGCAAACCAAACCCCCAAGCCTATAAAGCATTCTAGAGGGAAACACGGTAGTGTCTCAAATCCCTGCCTCCCACCCCCCTGCATCCAGCACCTTCCTTGCAGCAGCTCTGTCTGCAGCAGTGTGGATGGGAGAGGTTGGGAGAGCCTGGTTGGTGGCAGCACTTCATGTAGGGGCTATGCACTGGCAAAACAGGGTGCTGTTGTGCGGAGGGGTCAGACAGGGTTAACCCTCTTGACTCCTCAAACCATTAGAAATTAACTTGTGTTGAGTCTAAGTTTGTCCTCAACCAATTTATAGTCATTTGATCTCATGCTGATGATGTTCTTCAACTTAAATAACTCATCTCCTTCCCCAGTAGCCACCCCATGAATGTATTGCGAAAAGGTAATCATATCCCTTCTCAACCTTGATTTGGCTGAGCTAGACAAACCAAGCTCCTTTAACTTCCTATAGGCTACTACTTCACCATGTTTCTGTTTCTCTGATAATGTCTGGTTTCATGTCCCACACCAGGAGTTCCAGTTCCTCCATTTTAGTGCCCAGACTCCTTTCACTGATGTACAAACTTTGCTGTTGTTTCCTCTTAACCTCACCTAACTTCCTAGTTTATATATGTATGCCTGAAATACCTGTCTGCCTTCCGTTTCTCTCCCCCTTTCTTGGTATGCTTCTCTCCCTGGCCTCTTCCTCATTTATCCAATTTCCCTATTGCCTCATTTTCCATTTTCCAGGGTGGAGATTTTGAGGGTTCTTCCCAGCCTTCTCCCCTGAGCTCCTAATTGTTTTCTTATCAGTTGGGCCACTGTCATCTTAGAAGACTATTTCTTACTTACTGAAGTGGAGCCCAGCCCTGGAGAAAAGCCTTCTATCCATTAATGCCTGCTAATAATCAAACATCCCATAGCCTTTCCAACTGCACCAGTCCTTGGGCCATTCATTAATTTTCATTATCTTGTTCTATCTCACTGAATATCACTTGAGCTTCTACCTCTTTCAGCAACTCCCCCAGCCTAGAAGAGTCATTCCTGATCCTTGTTAACAAGTACTGGCTCATATCATTTGGTCCTATGTGAAGAGCAATTACTCGACTCTTGCTTCTCCCATCACCTGTAATTCCACATCTTGTATCTTTCCACATCCTTCTCATTCTCCCAGCCTTCCTTTAGACTGGTCTATCTATCCTTCTTACAAGAGAGTCACTATAACCTAAACCTGTCTTTTCTCAGAGTTTGATTTTTCCTTTCTTGTCTGCAGATATTGTCTTTTGTTTCCCCTTAATCCTACTTCTTTCTTGACCTCTGCTCACCTACTAGCTCCCTTCTCTTTTCTCCTTTTCCCAGACTGGTTCTTCTCTTCTTTCATGCCATCCTTCCCGCCTACCTAGGTCTTTCTTTTTTTCATTTATCCACACACTAAACTGATTCCTCAACTCTATTTTGTGTCCACTACTTAATTGCTTTCTTTGCCTGTTTTCATAGTCCATCAGTTCCCCTATTGTGAAAGTCTATCTGGCAGCTCTATGAATCTATGATCTGCTGGTGGTGGTAAACAGTGAGCCCCTGGCTGGGAGGGGATTTCCCCCCCATCTGGAGGTTTGCTGCTAGCTGCTCCACCAGTGGATTGGGGCAGGGGGCTGGGACCTGCCCCTCTCCTGCAACTCTTTCCAAGCCCTGGACCTTGACTGCCCTATTGGGGCACAGGGCTGGGAAAAATCTGCAGGGCTGGGACCTGCCCCTGACCGAGACAGTTCCTGGAAAGCCCTGAACTGTGCAGTGAAGTCTGTACCTGCAGCCTGGAGGTGGCTGGGGACAGTCCTGCTTTGGGCAGTTCCCAGCCAGGTCCGGGCTGCACATGAAGACTTCCCTGAGCAGCCCTGGGCTGGCCAGGAACCTTCCTGATCAGGGACAGGTCCCAGCTAGCTCCAGGCTGGGCAGAAAACTCTTTTTCTTCTTTAAAACAATCATTAGAAGGCAGCACCAGTGAGATCTAGAACATAAGAACTGTCATTTACTGGGTCAGACCATAGATCCATCTTGCCCATCATCCTGTGTCACACAGTAGCATAAAATGGATGCTGAAAGGGCAAGTGAACTGGGTCTGACCAGGTTTTTTCCACTGTGCCTCTCGTACTTGCCAGCTCCAGCATTTACTGTCCAGAGGCTGTATCCCTAACTCCTGTGCTCAATAGCTACTGGTGCTCCTTTCCTCCAAGAATGAGTCCAATCTTTTTTTTTAAACTGGCTGAACTGTCAGCTTCCACAACACCTGGTGGCAAGGAGTTCGACACTGTAACTACATGCTGCATGAAAAAGAACTTCCTTTGGTTAGCTTTAAACTTACTGGTTGCATCTACACAAGATGCTTTACTGTGCAGTGGACTTAATCACTGGGTTCGTCTACATGTGATGTTATGTTGCTGTAGCAAAGCGGTACAGTGACATAGCATTGGTGTTCACAAACCATGATGCCATAGCTATGTCACCATAGCAATATGCTCCCCTGTTAAAGCATGTCACTACGCCAATCATGTGCCTAAAAGTAACTATGAGCAGTGCATATGGCACAGTACAGGGTGTTACTGCACCATCTTTGAATGACAGCACAGTAGCAATGGATTCCTTAAGGATCTGCTCCATGATTTTTCCGTCAACTGAAGTGAGGCTGACGGATCTGTAGTTCTCTGGACCCTCTTTTTTCCCTTTTTTAAATATGGGCACTATATCTGCCCTTTTCCAATTGTCCGGGACCTCTCCCGATTGCCATGAGTTTTCAGTGATGGCCAGTGGCTCTGCAATCATATCAGCCAACTCCCTCAGCACCCCTGGGTGCATCCTGTCCAGTGCCATGGACTTATACACATCCAGTTTTCTTAACAGTCCCTAACCTGTTTTGCTGCCGCAGTTGGCTGTTCACCTTCTGTGTCCAGTTTTGGGCTCCGCACTACAGAAAGGTTGTGGACACATTGGAGAGAGTCCAACACAAGGCAACAAAAATGATTAGGGGGCTGGGGTACCTGACTTTTGAGGAGAGACTGAAGGAATTGGGCTTATTTAGTCTGGAGAAGAGAAGACTGAGGTGGGATTTAATAGCAGCCTTCAACTACCTGAAGTGGGGTTTAAAAGAGGATGGAGATAGACTGTTCTCAGTCGTGGCAGATGACAGAACAAGGATCAATGGTCTCAGGATGCAGCAAGGGAAGTTTAGGTTAGATATTAGGAAAAAGTTTCTTACCAGGAGAGTA